GTGCAACTTGATTAATTTTTGTTTGATCGCAATCTAGTTCGGTCCCCTTCGTACACCCTGGTATAATGCGGCGCTCATGGAAAGAATCTACGATTTTGCTCTCCGATACGATGTCGACAAGATAAGATTTTTAAATGTAAAAAAAAAAATTTATGATAATGTCTATGTACCTTTGGTAATATGAAAATCTGAAATTATAAATGTTATATAATTTTGGATAATTCTGATACTTTTAACTTAATGATAAGTCTGTGAGTATATAGATATAAGCAAAACATGATGAAATATTTATCCAAATATATGTATGTATGTTTCATATAATTTTAAATGCAAATAAAAATTATATTTTTTATGATGTTGTTGTTGCATTCATTTTATTTAGTTTTTCTCTTTTTCGCTTTATCTAAACTAAAGTGGCTCTTTTTAACCACTAAAGCAGTTTTCGGCCGAATTTTTTTTTCTTAAATGTTGCGTACCTCACGGTTAGGTTCATATTCCTTGCCTAGGGGCGAAAAGAACTAGAGTTTTTTCCTTTATTTTCAATGTTGGTCTGGCCAGAATCGAACCTCTGACTCACCACACGACGGCACGAACTTCTAACCACGTGTCTAATGCTGTATGAATTTAGTTTAAGTATAAATTATGTAGAAAAATACAAAATATTAATTTTTCCATATTTACTTCTATTCTTAATTTCTTCATGTCTTTATAATATACTCGTACATATGTATATATGTATATTTCATTAAAAATTACCATTTTACAGGAATTAGTAAATAATTAGCTTTATTTGAATCAAGTTGAATTTTATTTATATTTGCTTCCCTGATAAATTTTTAAGTTAAAAAATAAAGTTTTTTTTTTCAAATATTCATTTTTGATCATTTTTTTATGAAGGACTGCTTGGTATTTTTGTATAAAATGTGTGAACTTCCCTAAGCTTTAAGCTAAATAAAAACAATTTTAATCCAATTGAATGCTAGGACTCGGTGTCAGTCTCTCTCCAACTACTTATAAGACATTTCCGTTCATAAGAAAACATTTTCTTGCCCCCTTGTCGTGACCTTCGCAGTTCTTAGACTGGGTGATGTCTGCCTCAACCATCAATCAACTGCGCAGCGGCACCTACTTAAGAGGTCTTGCCTTGTTGAGGCCTCAACTTCATTTTGGGTGTGTAATTTTGTCCCAACTGGTACAAATTCTTAAGGCTGACCCAAAGATTTTTACAGGAAATGTTGGTAGGTGCTTTTGATTGAATTCTCATTCACATTTTCGTTTTGGGACAAACTCAATATTTCAGAATTTTCTACCCTTGTATGTAAGATAGACAAATAGACTAGTTTTTCAACTCCTGGATTGGATATCCAGCCCTTATCCATGTCATACCCTCCGCCATTGTCAACAATGGATTGCCAGTGCCTTGTATCGCTTTCTCCATATCAAAAATGATATACATATGTACTTTCTTTCGTCAATATAAAGAACTTTTTTCTAAAAATTTAAAAGCTTTGGGTTTCTTTCTGTTGGCAATTGAAAGCCTTTTTTGTAGAATTACAAGTTCGTGGTTGAAAATAAAGAAGAAGAATTGTTTGTTGAAAAGCAGCTTGCAAGTAAGTACTTTTGGTATCAAAATCTGTCCGATTTATTCCAAAAAAAATGTACAACAATCATGGTATACAACAACAAACAAAGCTTAGCAGCGTAGAGATATTTGAAATTTTTTTGCAAATACTTTTGTGAGTCACTGTATATATTATTTAAAAAAAATTCTCTATGATTATTTTGATGTACAATATTTAAAGTAAGCCCTGCGAAGTCCACTAATTACTAAATATGCACCAGTAATGCTTAAGAATTAGTGATAGTATTTTCCATCCAAATTGCTTACCACCGCACAAATTGTACAGTCATCTTATGCTGCAACTAGCCAAGATCAAAGCGACTCAGCTGTCACCACCCATCTTACGGGAGCGTCAATGCATACTTGGGTTTGAAATCTAAATATTTTATAGCTAATATATTTGATTAAAAGACGATCTCAAACCAAGAATTTATCTGCGCAAGTCACATATGGAAATGTTCTCATTGAAACAGTTACGAAAACAAATTCTTTTTCGTTTTTACCCGAATCGAAGTGCAGTCGTTAATGTTAAATCGTTAACAGGCCTATTCTCACTGTTACTGGTAAAGTAAATTTTGTTACTTTTCTTTAACACCCGAAATCGAATTTGGTATTCTGGCGAACTGGTTACAATGTTTGAAAAAATTTGGCAGCACTGCTTTTTTCTTCCATGTCAAATTACATTTTCCAGTTGATAAAGTAAAAAGAAAAATATTCACATCGAAATGGAAGACGGTGCACAAAAAAATTAAAAAGTTTTATTAATTTGTTTATTAAATCATTAATATTTGAACCTAATTATGGAAAATATGCAAAAAAAAACTGAATGAAAAAATTATCTTACAACTTAAAGGGCTATTTTTCTTCATCTTCAATGAATTCCAGGCCTAAAATATTCCTACCCATTTTAGTTTTTTATTTTTTCTCAAACTTACAACAAAAAATCAAACAGCAGATATTCTTGTTACCTCCTATTTCGCTGGTGACAAAATTTACAGGGTAACAGTGAGCTCAGAATACGAAATAGTAACAAAATTTACTGAATGGTAAATTTTAATACCAAAGTAAATTTTGTTACCTCGACAGAATAGGCAGGCAGTCATTTCAAAATTAGCAATGTATTTGTGCGGTTTCAACTTTATAGATTTCTTTTCGTTTCGATAACCTGGCGCCGAAATGAAACAAAATCATTTCGATAAGTTTATTTTTTTATTTTAACAAAACGAAATGTCAATTGTTTTGTTTTTGTTTTAGCATCTCTGATTGAAAAGCAAAGCTCAGGCTTATGATATTTTCTTTAGAAATTGTCGTACATTTTTTAGGTTCAAACACCCTATCGGCCATCCCACAGTAGGAAAATGACGTGCGCCTGGCTGCAGCGGCTTCTTGATATATAATACCTTAATGGAATCTAATAACGATAAGATTTTAAAATATTTATGTTTTCAATTAACTCGATTAACTTTCTTCAGACTATTCAAAATGTCAGCAAAGTTAATTTGTTATACCCTTTAAATTCCTCAAAATTTGAACTAAGAAATTCAATTTTCAAGTAATTAAATGCTAAATATAAAGGGTGATTTTTTATGAACTAATAGCAAAGTTTTTCAAAATAAAAAAAACACATAAAATTCAGAAAAATTCATGAAATTTTTCTTTGGATGGATAGTACGGTCCATATAATTTAATGTTTGAAGGTTATTTCATGCAAATGTTGACCGTGACTACACCTCAAATGGTCCATCCGCTTAGTACAATTTTGGCTTACTTTTTCCAACATTTAAACCGGTATAATGGAATAAATGCTTCAATGTTGTCCTCCAATGGGTCAATTGAAGCGAGCTTGTCTAGATTTAACATAGCCCCACAAAAAAATAGTCTGAACGGATTAAATCGCACGATCTAGGCGGCCAATTGACCGGTCCCGGACGTGAAATAAAATGTTCACCGAACTCGTCTCTCAATAAGTCCATTGTTACGCGTGTTGTGTGGCATGTGGCACCGTCTTGTTGAAACCACAGGTCATGCAAGTCAAGCTGTTGCATTTTGGACAAAAAAAAAGTCTGATATCATATCACGGTAGCGCTCACCATTCACAGTTACTTTACGATTCGCTTCGTCTTTGAGGAAGTACGGTCCAATGATGCCACCAGCCCATAAACCGCACCAAACTGCAACATCTTCACTCCAAAATCGATAATTCTGCTTATTTATAAAGCCGAAAAATGAGCTTCGAAGCGCGCGCGGAAGAAGTGCGCGATGAACTTTCTTAACGGTGCACCCATTTTGATAGTGAAATTAAATAATTTGCCAGCGAGGTCCGTTTGTGAGCCGATTCATGGTTAAATTATAGACCAAACTGAAGATGTTTGACGGAGATAAAAAAACACGAAACGTGCGTCAGATGTTTAAACCAGGGTTGCCAAAAAGATAATTCATAAAAAATCACCCTTTATATTGCCAAAACTACGTCTACGCAACAATCATCACTTAAACAAATAGGTCACAATGTTTGAAAAAAATATAAAAATTTTAAAGTGAATGGATGAGCGAATCGTTTCAGGAAAGGTCGGTGCCAAAATGATATTTGGATCTTATATGTTGCAGGACTTTGCCGTTTCCGCATAAATGAAATAATATTCAAAATTAGAACAAAAAAATTATTAATATGTATTGCTTCTCTCCTATCTCAATTTCGTTTTTCGGCCATCTAATGCTCTACTCGAGCTTAATTTCCCTCACTTATTAACATTACATTCGTATTGAAATCTTGTCTGTATCACTGATTTATGTCTTAAGTACCTTCGAAGGGTTCAATGGAATAAATGCACAAGTGTTTGTATATATAGCTTAAACACACGTACATACATACATATGTACGAGTATGTAGAGTTAATGTAAGCGCATAAAGATGTTTACATATTATATTTACATAAATGATATATGCACATGCTTAGTTAATCAGTTGATAATAAAACTCCAGTAAATACATCCCACACCTTTATTAGAATCACCTTATCGTCTCACAGAAACAGCTGTTTTCATTCACAAATAGGGAAGTAGTAAATAGCACATTTGTAAGCTCATACATACATACACATACATACCTACATACATATATATGTATATAATTTCATACATTCAATATTTATCTATTGTACATGTGCAGACACAATTATGTAACTACATACATACATATACATATAGTGACATATGTACATATGTATATATGGGGAAATAAAATGAGAGTGAAAAAATGTGCATCTGATTCGTACCTTTTGATTTTAGGTTTGTTTTGTTTTAATGCATTGTCTAGTCACAACATTCTAAGTGTAGAAACCCATAAAAAAATATATGTGCGTATATATGCATGTACATGTGTATGTATGTATGTATGTGCCGTTTGGAGTATATAGTGTGTGTAGTATGGCAAAGAAGCTACATTATACATTTAATATGTATGTATGTATGTATGTATGTACATACTTACTAAGCAAGTAGATTTTTGTAAGTTTATATTATTTGTAGGAGTGCTCGGAGCGGGCAATGGGCCGTTTGAGAAGCTATAACACATTTTTATGTTGCAGAATTTTTACTTTTTCCTCCTTGCACAAGTATAGAATGCATAAGCATTCATACACGTATCAAATAATGTGCATACACATAAGAGATATATATTTATGTACATATGTAGGTGTTTCATTCTACAAGTGTAACACTAGCATAGTAAATACATATGTGTGCGTATGTACGTTGATTAAATAGTTGCCTTTGCTGACCTTTATTTGTCACAATTTAATGTATTCGGCGGACAACAAGCTTGAATATATTTGTATATATGTATATATATATATATATTTATATACTTAAATACAGTATACATTTGAAAGTATGTATTGTTGTATATGTACAAATTATTGCTCAATGTCGACATAGTATGTGGTATATATGTACGTATATATTTGCTTATATGCACGCATATACATATGTATTTATGTATGTAGGGTACTTAATGCTGCTTAAAATAATGAGATGCAAAATAATAACATTATGATTAATGTAAACTGTTCTCTTTTTGATGAAATTACACTTAAAATTACAACGATATGAACAGAATTTCGTTGAAATCAATTACAGCGAATCATTAAGGGTATTCACTTTTCCAGCCATGCAAGCCCAGAACAAACAACACATACATCTAAATACAAGAAACATGTGATTCAAGAAAAAAATATTATATGTCAAAACCTACATACATACATATGTACATAAATTTATTTCTTATAGATCACAATAAGAAGCCGAGCGAGTTGTTAGTGTTTGAGCAGAATTTATCACATTCGTACAATGGGGTTGCCATCGGGCTTTAAAAACTTTTCTTCGGAAACTTTTGCATATATTAGAAATTTAACATGCCACTTTTTCATTTTCTAGATATTTTTTTCGCTCCAGAAAGCAACAAAGAAGTACTATTAATGACCAACAGTTCAAAACTCGATATAGAGCGATCCGGAGCAATTAGACAAAGAGTAGACTAATGTGAAATGATTTACTTTAAAACATGGGAGTAGTAGGATGAGAGAAATAGGCCGTCGTGGGTGAGTACGAAAAGTTTGAGAGTTTAGATAGCAGCGAAATTTTCTAGGAATTTTATGAGAAAATTATAAGATTAGCTCAAATATTCAGCAAATTTAATAAACTGCTCAACATCGCATATAACCGCCAACGAACCGATGGAATCCCAGCAGAACTACCAAATCTACCTACCATCGACCATCACCATGGACTAAATAATGTTAAGTATACGAGAGAAAATTATAAACACCAAGAGGAATTTAAAGAAAGACTGAAAAAAATAGTACATGAAAGCTGTGGTAAATAAATAGAATATTCAACAGCCTTATTGTTAGCGATTTCCACATCAAGTAAGGAAGGACTTCCTCAAAATAGTTTCAGTTTTACCTAAATCTTATTATTATTTATATAATTATTTTTCGCGCAAGTGAAATCCAGTATGGTAGGGAGACTATGAAACTTTGAAATAAAAGAAGAAATTTTGATTATTTCTTTAATTGCTTAAAACACAAATAGAGTACGCCAAGAAAGCTTTTTTTTAACAAATTCTCGTAAAAGGACATTCCTTAGTGGAACATATAAATATATATTGTATATATATGTATGCATATAAGTTATTTTTTATTTCTCTGTTTAAAATTATAAATTTTTGTTTCTTATATTAATAAAAAAAAACTGCTCCTACATGCACAATGTGAAAGAAGGTCTTTGAAAACTCATAAAACCACATTTTCCGAATACAGAATTCACTGTTGCTATTGTTGTATGTTAATATCCTATATGTATGTGTAATGTAATTGGCACTTTGTAACCGCTGAAGGGATTGTTAAGTCGAGCTCCTCCTTCAATTTATGATTTTGCGCCTTGATATTTTTCCAACAAATGGAGGAACCTACAGTTTATATATATTAAGCCGCCTCCGAACGGCTGATAGTTTTTTTACGAGGAGCCTTTATTTCATGCTAGAAATACCTCGGCGGGGTTGGCATTTCCTGCCAAGTGGCGACCGCAATTAGAAAATTGAATGTAGTTATATAAGATTGACTGTACAAAATGTTAATTTGTATTTATCTTAAAATCATATATATACATATCAAAATTCTTATATATAATACATATCAAAATTTTTGAGTACTCCCAGTTCAATATTCGAAATCGCACTAGCTCACTTACTCAGCATTTGATTTTGTGACACCAAATCTGAGATTTTGGATTTATATCGAGAGTGGGTAGGACTTCCACTAGGACATTTTTCAAAAAATAACATCACAACTTTTTTCTTTAAAGAAGTGTTGCTATTCTTATTATAAGTTTCATGCAAATTAAATGATATATTAACTTTGTTTCGATATATGTATGTAAGTACCCGAATTTATCCCATTGTACAATTTTGGCATACTCTTTCCAACATTTCAACCGGTATCTCACGAATAAATGCTTCAATGTTGTCCTCCAATGCGTCAGTTGAAGCGGGCCTGTCGGTATATGCATAAGATTTAACATAGCCTCACAAAAAATAGTCTTAAGGCGTTAAGTTGCACGATAGTGGCGGTCAGTTGACCGGTCCCGAACGAGAAATAAAATTTTCACCGAACTCGCCTCTCAATAAGTCCTTTGCTATGCGTGCTGGGTGGCATGTGGCAACGTCTTGTTGAAACCACATGTCATGCAAGTCAAGCTGTTGCATTTTGGGCAAAAACAGTTTGATATTATCTGACGATAGCGCTCACCATTCATAGTTACTTTATGATTCGCATCATTGTTGAAGAAGTACGGTCCAATGATGCCACCAGCCCATAAACCGCACCAAAGTGTGACTTTTTCTGGATGCATTGGTAGCTCTTGCAATGCTTCTGGCTGATCTTCACTCCAAATCGACAATTCTGCTTATTTACACCCCCATTAAGCCGAAAATGAACTTCCGTGGACACATTTTTTTTCTTTTGAACTTTTTTCACGGGGCACGCATTCTGATAATAAAATTCAATAATTTGCAAGCGTTGTTCGTTTGAAAGACAAAGAAATCATAGACCAGACTGAAGATACTTGACAGTGATACAAAACACGAAAAGTGCGTCAGTTAACAGCTAAGAAATCACCCTTAATATATATATATTTATATTTATATGCAGATATATATTATATATACTTTAAATATGTCAAAAAGGCACGTAAGAGCATGAACTTTATTATATATATTGCCTTACAACAAACGAATTTCCGATCTGAAATTTTAGGTTAAAATCGTCAAATAAACTTGCAATAAAATTTATTTTATATGTTGTTGTTCCTTCTCATTTGTTTCCTTCTTTTTAAAAATACACGTTCTTTATTTCTTAAACCCAAAAAGTTATTGTTACAAAAAGTTATTGTTATTTTATTATTATATAATACAATATTTAATTTTTTTTATTTAAACAAATGTTTAACTTCAATAAGTAAGTATGCTATCACAAAGTCTGACATAATTAAAAAACAATTAAAAATATCGGTACGATTTTTGCACAGAAGTATTGATTTTGCTCATGCGTTCGATAAAGTTTAAATAGATGGACTGTTATAAAAGCGTCTCGTAAGTTTTAAAGCCGTCATATCTTGCCATATCAACATTTAGAGATTACAACAACATTTAAATCTAATAGAAGGAAGGCTAGCTACTTGGAGTATTAAACTTAATGAGTCTAAATAACCATAATAAAAAACTAATGTTCTTCAATCTCTGTTAATGATAATACAATACCACAGAAAGTATTCGTTACTTACTTCGGAGTTACATTGGATAAAAGACTCACTTGGAAGAACCACATAGATAAAAATACTGCTCGAACTAAAATTACAATTGCTGATTTGCATTGGATTTTATGTTCTAATTCTAAACTAAGCAAAGAAAAGTGATAAATTTGTATATGCTTAATATGCCAATTGGATCCAACTTTAGAACTCAGCATCTAAATCCAGTATAGATAGAATCAAAAGGCTACCTTACGCGCAATATGCAGGACCGCTTGGTATGTAAAAAAAAACTGCGTAATTCACAACGATCTCGGCATTAACGCCAAAACAGAGGAGTAAGATAACTGTATAAAAATAACTCCTTGATGTATTTTACCATCCGAATTCTCTAGCTGAATGTTTATTACGCTGAACTGCCAAGCGCTTATAGAGAAAGGATTTACGTATGAATTGAGACTAAGTGCTCTGCCGCTTTCAATTATATTACGTGAGAGATATTTTCCGTTAATATCCTTCAAGATATTTGTTATAAGTTCCTATAGTCATCCATTTTCATATCTTTTGTTAAATTGTTATAATTTGCGATTTTGGTATCTCTAATATAATTATCACTATAAACAGATTCCAGGTTAAAGCCAAATTATATCAATAACATTATTTATTGTATTTCGCTTCCTTTGCTAACCGATGCAGTACGAATGTTGTACTTGCATTATGTAAGAATTAGTTTTAAGAATTTCAATATTATTGTTAATTTTTTAAAGGAAAGATTCAATAAAATACCTTGAAGCAAAAAAAAACAAAAAATGCTTGACTAATATCTTTCATCAGACACTTTTTAATATGAGTCGTTTATTTTGAAAGCCGCTTTCAATAAAAAAAGTGGTTAATGATAACAATAATTACAATCCTATATAAGCTTTGTTTTATTAACATTTTAAGTCTAATATCAATGAAAACGCTATGATTTTGGGCACTTAAATTTAGTTGGCTAAACAAATTAAAAAAAAAATTATTTTGAAACCGGCTTAAGTCCACTGAAGGCGTTAGTCTTTCCAAAATCGTCTGTTTCCATCGCCTATTACAAACGTAATATGTACATTTGCTACCTTGGTTGTCATAATTTTCACGATAATGAAGTTCACATGTATGCCGGGGATGAAACTATGGCATCGAGAGGTTCTCAAGAAGTAGCATTTTGTATATTAAAACAGCTCAAAAAACTTCAAAATCATAAACATATCATAGCTTACAACGATATGTGCACTGGACAGAACAGGAATATAAAATTGGCATTAACATGGTTGAAAATTATGCAATTGGCAGAAAATAATGCAGATATTATTGACCATAAGTTTTTACTACCAGGACATTCATTTTCGCCGAATGATAGTGATTTTGGAGTGGTAGAATTCGACTTCAGGAAAAATAATTTAATGTATGACCCCCGGAATTACTATGAAACCATAAAAATTTGTCGAAAGAGTAACAAATTTATATTAACTAACATGTAACGTCAAGATTTTTTTTCTACCAAACCTTTGGAAGAAGCGATTCATAAAAAATTAAAAAAACACTGGTGGCGAACGTGTAAATTAGCTAAGGATATGTTGGATGCGATTTATAAGCAGTGAACCCTATAAAATGTTTTACAAAGAATCTATGGAAGTGGATAAAGAGTTCAAAATACTTGATTTATTACCTTGTCGGGCAAGACCAAAGAACTTCAATAAAATAAAATTAGCACCATTATACAACAATGTACGTAACATTTCAACTCCTAAGTATAACGATATGATGGGGTTACTAAGATATATACCACCTGTGCACCATGAATACATTAGCAACCTCACACATAATCTAAATGGGGAGAAATAATTTGGCAAAATCTTTCCTTAATAATATTATCCTTAATAAATGAAAGTAAACCTTATTTTTTTATAAATGAATTAATATTTATTCAAATTCAATTATATAAAAAAATCTGCATTCGTCCACTTCAAACATAAAATATTTGTAATCTCTAATATATTTTTGTTTTTTTAATCAGTGGACTCTTTCCTTTTCACAAGCAAAAAAGTAATTTTCTTAATTTTGAAAGTCCACTTTAGATTCAGAAAACCAGCTTATTTTTCTAGTAAAGTTTACAAAACATACATCGTTATATATTCTAACATGTCTAACGTCGCAAAGTCATGAAATAAAATTAATACCATTTAACAATATTCTGGAAACAAATCAAACACAAACCCTTAAGTATCTCAATATAAGAAAAAATGGACTTAAACCA